ATTTTTTTTTTTTTTTTTTTTTTTTTTTTTTTTTTTTTTTTTTTTTTTTTTTTTTTTTAATGTATAAAAGGGGAAGGGGGCCCCCATAAATAACGTTAAAAGGGGAGGGGCCCCTCAACAGACACAAAGGGGACACTCCTTAGTAAGGGGCCCTACAGGAGTTAACAAACTCCTGTAGGGCCCCTTACTAAGGAGTGTCCCCTTTGTGTCTCCTTGTCTCCTTATAAGGAGACAAAAAGAGACAATAAATTATTTATATAAGAATAGACTAAGCAGCAAGAGATAACAACAAAAGGAGACACTATTAAAGGGCAAAATAACCCCATAGAAAAAGGCGGTTTGCTGCTGCTGCTGCAGCTGCAAAATTTGCTGCTGCTGGAGCTGGCGATGCAGCAGCAGCAGCAGACTTACAACTCAATGATGTCTCTTTGCTGCTTCGTGTCTGCTAATAATGTGTGCAGCAAAGGAGACAGAAAAGCAGCAGCAACGCAAGCAGCCGCAGCTGCAGTTGCTGCAGTTGCTGCAGCAGCAGCAAGGAGACAAACGTAGACAAACAGGAGAGAGGAGAGAGGCATGCATGCATGCGACAAAGAAAAAAGGAGACACAAGAAAAAGTAAAAGGAGACACCCATTGCAATAACAATAAAAAACCCTAAACCCTAAACCCTAAACCCTCCTAAGGGTTTAGGGTTTATGGACTTTTAGGGTTTAGGGTTTATGAGTGTTTAGGGTGTCCTAGGGTTGTGTTTACAACAATTAAGGATAATTTAATATTTTTATGAATTTTTAGGGTTTAGGGTTTTTTAGGGTTTAGGGTTTAGGGTTTAGGGTTTTCTAGGGTTTAGGGTTTAGGGTTTAGGGTTTATTCGAGTTGTTGTAAGGCATCCCATCCATTTTCTGCTTCTTCTTCTTCTGTTATTCTTGGTGCCTCTGATGATTCTTTAGATATTTCCCCTATTGCTCTTATTAATTGGGGATCTTTTGTTGCTGTTACTGTTGCTGCTGTTGCTGCTGCTGCTGCTGCTGCTGCTGTAGGTGTTGCTGCTGCTGCAGCAGCAGCAGCAGCATGCTGCTGCTGCTGCTGCTGCTGCTGTTGCTGTTGTGTCTCCTGTACACCTGGTAGCCAGGCAACACAATCTTGTAGATTAGGAGGTAGACATGATTGAGATGTTGCTGTTGCTGCTGCAGCATTTGTTCCTATTGTTGTTGCTGCTGCTGCTGCTGCTGCTGCTCTAGCTTCTTGCTCCCATGCTCTTATACTAGCAAGGAGCTGCTGCAGCAGACCTGGCTGCTGCTGCTGTGTCTCTACATCAGCAGCAATATGATGAAGAATTACTTTTATAGGAAATTCAGATACACCATGACGACGTAAAAAAGGTATTATCTCCTTTTGCTGCAGCAGCAACAGCAACAGCAGCAGCAGCAGCAGCAGCAACAGCAGCAGTAGTAGTAGTAGTAGTATACAAACAATAAAGGAGACAAAAAAAGGAGACAAAAAAGGAGACAAAAAAGGAGACAAAAAAAAAGACAAAAAAGGAGACACTTGTATTACTTGTTGTGTATTGAGGAGTATATTAACAAAAGGAGACAAAAAAGGAGACAAAAAAGGAGACAAAAAAGGAGACAAAAAAGGAGACAAAAAAGGAGACAAAAAAGGAGACAATAAAGGAGACAATAAAGGAGACAAAAAAGGAGACAAAAAAGGAGACAAAAAAGGAGACAATAAAAGGAGACAATACAGGAGAAAAAAAAGGAGAAAAAAAAAGGAGACAATAAATATACTTGTTGTGTATTGAGTAGTATATTAACAATAACTGGCCAATTACGAAGTCTTAGGGCACAATCAAGACAGGCCTGCCGTAGCCAACGCTCGTCTGCTGCTGCTGCTGCTGCTGCTGCTGCTGCTGCAGCTGATGCTGCTGATGCTGATGGTGCTGATGGTGGTGCTGATGGTGACGAGGCAGCAGCAACTGCTGCTGCTGCTTCTGCTTCTGCTGCTGTTGCTGCTGCTGCTGCTGCTAATTGTCTCCATACAGCAACAAGACGATCTAACATGTCTCCTGCATCCAGCAGCAAATGATACTGCAGCAGCTGACGCAGCAAATCACCTGCATGCAACAAACACACAAGTCTCCTGCTGCTGCTGCTGCTGTTGTTGTTGTTGTTGTTGCTGCTGCTGTTCATGCTGCTGCTGTTCATGTTGCGGTTATGTTGCTGTTGCTGTTGCTTGGCAAAACCCTAAACCGCACCAAACCCTAAACCCTAAACCCTAAACCCTAAACCCTAAACCCTAAACCCTAAACCCTTGCTTGTGTACCTCTTTTTAAGAATACACAACAATCAAATAGAAACCCTTGTAATACTTTATGAGGAAATATCTGCAGCAGCAGCAAAGTACGTGTATACTCCATGGCTACCTGCAGCACATATGGTGCTGCGCTGCTGCTGCTGCTGCTGCTTCGTAATGTTATACAGCAACCACGATCAGCAGCAGCTGCAGCAGCAGCAGCAGCAGCAGAACCATCCTTTCCTGCTGCTGCTGCTCTTGCTGCTGTTGTGTCCTCAGAGACAGGGAAACATGAATCCAGTAAAGATGCATGCGGAGGGAGATTGTATTGCTGCAGCAACAGCAGCAGCAACAGCAGCAGCAACAGCAGCAACTGTTGGTGTCTCTTTTTGTCCCCTTTCCCCCATTTTATCTCTTTTTTGTCCCCTTTTCTCCCTTTTTCTCCCTTTTTCTCTGCCTTATTATTATCCATAAATAAATAAATAAATAAATAAATAAATTAATTAATTTATTTATTTATTTATATAATTGTCTCCTTACCTCCCTAACAAAAGGAAGAAGAACCTTTAATACAATATCTTTCTCTGTTATGACGGTCTTCTCTCCAACAGACTGCAGCAGCAACTCAAGGGGGATTGTTGCTCGCCCGCTGCAGCTGCCTGCTGCTGCTGCTGCTGCTGCTGCAGCTGCTGCTGCAGCAGATGATGATGATGACTCTGCTGTGATACTAGATGACTTATCACCAGAAGCAGCTGCTGCTGCAGCTGCTGCGGCAGCAGCAGCTGCAGCAGCACTTCCACCGCTACCATCTGCAGCAGCAGCAGCAGCAGCAGCAGCTGCTGCTGCTGCTGCTGCTGTTTGCTGTTGCTTGTTAGCAGCAAGAAGAGACAAAGGTACTTGCTCTATAGCTAATCTATATTTACTATTTAGCAGCAGCAGCAGCTGCTGCAGCCCCACCAGGGGTGTCTCCAAGCGCAGCGCATGCAACGTTAATCGTAAGACTTCTTTCTTACAATTAGATCTATTCTGTAGCACCTCCACGGCAGCACACTGCAGCAGCAGCAGCAGCAGCAGCAGCAAGGGGAGTAGCATGAGGAGGAGGAAGAGGAAGAAGAAGAACAGCAAGAGAGCAGCAGCAACAGCAGCAGCGACAGAAGTAGTAGTAGCAGCAACATAAAGAGAATGGCAACAGCAGCAGCAACAGCAACAGCAACAGCAACAGCAACTGCAGCAGCAGCAGCAGCAACAGAAGGAGTAGCAATAATATAAGAAGGGTACAAAGGAGAAAGGAGACAGATAAAAGGAGACAAATAAAAGGAGACAATAAAAGGCGACAAAAGGAGACAATAAAAGGGGACAGGAGACAATAAAAAAGGAGACAATAAAAAAAGGAGACAATAAGAAAAAGGAAACAAAAAAAGGAGACAATAAGAAAAAGGAGACAAAAAAAAGGAGACAAAAAAAAAGGAGACAAAAAAAAGGAGACAAAGAAAAAGGAAAAAAAAAAGGAAACAAAAAAACAAGGAGACAATAAGAAAAAGGAGACAATAAGAAAAAGGAAACAAAAAAAAAGGAGACAAAAAAAAAGGAGACAAAAAGAAAAGGAGACAAAAAGAAAAGGAGAAAAAAGAAAAAAAAAAAGGAGAAAAAAAAAAAGGAGAGAGTGTGTATGTATACTTACTAATGATTGTTTTTCTTTAAGTATTCTATGAGTAAGAGAATTAATATTTATATTTAATAAATATAAACAATTATACTCCCTATCTATTATACCATCAGGAGACACAAAGGTACACAAGGCTGCAAAAGGAGACAGGAAGAAGACAAGAAGGAGACAGGAAGGAGACAGGAAGGAGACAATAAGGAGACAGTTTATATTTAATAAATATAAACAATTATACTCCCTATCTATTATACCATCAGGAGACACAAAGGTACACAAGGCTGCAAAAGGAGACAGGAAGAAGACAAGAAGGAGACAATAAGGAGACAGTTTATATATAATAAATATAAACAATTATACTCCCTATCTATTATACCATCAGGGGACACAAAGGTACACAAGGCTGCAAAAGGAGACAGGAAGAAGATAGGACGGAGATAGGGAGGAGATAGGAAGGAGACAGTAAGGAGACAGTAAGGAGACAGTAAGGGGACAGGAGACAGGAAGGAGACAGGGAGGAGACAGGAAGGAGACAGGAAGGAGACAAAAAGGAGACAAAAAGGAGACACTTTAATACCTTTTGTCTCCTTTTGTCTCTCCTTCTGTCTATTTATTTATTCAGTTATTTATTTATTTATTTTATTTATTTATTTATTTATTTTATTTATTTATTTTATTTATTTTATTTAATTATTTATTTTATTTATTTATTTTTTTTTTTTTTGGTGTCTCCTTACCTAGATTAGGTGCTTGTAGCTCAACATCCGTAAGTGCTTCCTGTGCTGCTGCTGCACTCCCTGCTGCTGCAGCAGCAGCAGCAGAATCTGTACAACTGTCTCCTGCTGCTGCTGTTGCTGCTGCTGCTGCTGTGTCTCCTTTATTGTCTCCAATAAATATAGGTGCCTTAATAAAGGACAAAGGTGTCCCCTTTACTAAAGGAGCAACAGCCCTTACCCCTTTTATATTATCTGTTCGTGAATTATTATTTAGTACCCTATTGGGGCCCCCTTGGGGGCCCCCCATACCATATGATAGACTTAGGGGGCCCCCTCTGGGGCCCACATCTATACCCTTTATTCCTCCTCCTCCTCCTCCTCCTCCCCCTCCTCCTCCTTGATTTAAATCATATAATAAGACCAACTCTAACCCCGCATTATAAACCACCAATAAATTATCTAATGCTAATATCTTTAATTCCCCTAAATATATACAACACCAAACCCTAAACCCTAAACCCTAAACCCTAAACCCTAAACCCTAAACCCTAAACCCTAAAATATGATAAATTATAGAATGACACCCATAAACACTAATTTATATTTATGTGTTATTAACAACTTCCCTCTTAGTATCCAATTCAGGGTTTAGGGTTTAGCAGGATTAGGGTTTAGGGTATATATGAAAAATTAGGGTTTAGGGTTTATGGTAATTAGGGGTTACGTTAATTAGGGTTTAGGGTTTATATATACCAGGAGCAAGAGCATCTAATACAGTATCTGGTTGTATAGGTCCTGTTATTGCCCTTAAGGATATTCTTCCTGCATGCGGGTCTGCATGCATGCAATAAACAGTATTATATAAACAACAAAGATAAACATCTTGTTGCTGCAGTGCTTGCCATAAAGGAAGATTTAATTCTATCTTTGGTAAACGAACTAGACTCTATAACACATACACACACACAAACCCTAAACCCTAAACCCTAAACCCTAAACCCTAAACCCTAAACTGTGGTAAAACCCTAATAAAACCCTAATAAATCGGAGTAAATCCTTGGTTAGAGGGATGGGGGAGTTGGATGTATTGCAGGAGAAGGGAAGGAAGAAGGGTTTAGGGTTTTCTTTGATGGAGGAGAAGGGAGGGTTGTTTAAATTAGGGTTTAGGGTTTAGGGTTTAGGGTTTGGTTACCAGAGTTCTTGAATCTAATAGGAAGGGTTGTAGAGTTCTTTGTGCAATAGCAACAACAAATACAGAAGGTCCTGTATTTGCTGCTGCAATAGCTGCTGCTGCTGCTGCTACACTCTGCTGCTGCTGCTGCTGCTGTTGCTGCTGCTGCTGCTGCTGCTGATTATCTAGGGTTTGTCTCCTTGGTGTAGGGGGTAATACCCAAGCAAGAAGAGATGTTTGTGTTATTTTCTTTAATGCATGCAATGTCTTACCACTATGAATAAACTAAACAAAAAAGAGCAACACACACAGCAGCAATACATTTATGCATGCATGCATGCATGCATGCAGCAGCAGCAGCAGTAGCAGCAGCAAATGGAAGCAACACAGCATGCAGCAGCAACTGTTGCAGTAGCAATGTAAGCAACTGGTTTCTTGTTACAGCACAACTCAAGGAACAGCAGCAGCAGCAGCAGCATCAGCATATGCTGCAGCAGCAGCAGCAGGAGCAGCAGCAACCTTGCTGCATGCATGCATGCATTTATGCATGGATGGATGCATGCATTGTATATTACATACCTTAAAGAGTTCAATAGATTTTTGTGTAATAACAACAACAAGGGACGAATCTGCTGCTGCTGTTCCCCCTCCTGCTGCTCCCCCACCTCCACCACCAGATAGAGCAGCAGCAGCAGCATGAGGAGGAGGAGGAGCAGCAGCAGCAGCAGCAGGAGCAACAGGAGCCCAGAATGCCTGTAGTACTTGGGGTGTATCGTCAGCTATTGTGTTTCCCCTAAGAGGAATAAAAGTTGTTAAACATTCATCACCATATACATCTATTATACCTGCTTCTTGTATTATTATTTCTTTTTTTCCTCCTCCTCCTGCTGCTGCTGCTGCTGCTGCTGTTGCTGCTGCTGCTGCTGCTGCTGGTGGTTGTTGTTGTTGTGATCCGCCTGATGAGCAAGAAGAAGAGGAAGAGGATGATGGATCTTCCTTCGTCGTGCTGCTGCTGCTGCTGCTGCTGTTGCTGTTGCTGCTGCTGCTGCTGGTTGTTGTTGTTGTTGCTGTTGTTGCTGCTGTTGATATGTTAGGTACACTGCTGCTGCTGCTGCTGCTGCTGCTGCTGCTGCTGCTGCTGTCATCAGTAACATAGAGGAGGAAGGAGCCACAAGGAGAAAAAGACATAAATTTACATCTTGGCTTTATAAAACTGCAGCAAATAAATAAATAAATAAATAAATAAATAAATAAATAAATAAATAAATAAATAAATTATATATATATATATATATA